TCCTAGATAAAGTGAAACTATTAATTTTAGTTGTGACGTACTACATCAATGTTTTTATGCAATTGATGGTAACCTGTTAATAAATTTGAAACTGCAATTGAAAGTGGCTGTAATTTGAAAAATGAAATGAATTACAAGGTAAGCTTTCGTGAGGCCTATTATCTCCCAATTCACACTCGCAATGTGAATTGAAAAAAAAAACTACCCAATCCCCATACTCACCCCTTTTCATTGGGCATTCACTTTTTATTACTGAAATTCACCATTTACCTCTCCTTACAAAAATAACTGATTGACTCGAAATAATAAAATCCCCTGCTCTGCTGGCTGCTATTGTGAATCTGCTCACTCTTTCCACACCTGGCATAGGTAAATCGCATTGGGGGAAATTTGACAATAAAATGATTTGACTTTGTTGTTGGACACTCCGTTTGCAGATTTTGCTGACAGAAATTGGCTCAAGATTTGTTACCTTGCCAGAGGAGAGGCTTCTGGCAGTGGTTAATGCTCTGCTTCACCGCTGTTACAAGTACCCAACGGCCACTACAGCAGAAGTTCACCAGTCTCTCAAAAAGGAGCTTTCTGGTGTTTGCAGAGCTTGTTTTTCTGCAGAAGCCGTGAACAAGCATGTTGAATTCGTGGGAGAGTACAAACATGATTTTGAACGTGATCTTGACCCAGAAAATACTGCCACATTTCCGGCAACCCTTGCTGAACTAACCCAAAGATTAAAGCATTGGAAAAATATTCTCCAGAGAAATGTTGAGGACCGGTTTCCAGCTATTTTGAAACTGGAAGATGAAAGCAAGGTGTTGCGAGACTTCCACGTTGTTGAAGTGGAAGTACCAGGACAATATTTTACTGATCAGGTGCGTTGTGTCATAGTTCGAAACTTTTGAATTTGATTTTTCTCGTATCAGAGAAAGTAGTGAGGGCACCTTTAGTTCTTGCCTTAAATTCTTGGTTCAATCATAGTGGTTAAAATGCATTAAACATTTATCATTTCAGGAGGTTGCACCAGATCATACAGTTAAGTTAGACAGGGTTGGAGCTGACATTCCAATTGTAAGAAGGCATGGAAGTAGTTTCCGCCGTTTGACTTTAATTGGGTCTGATGGCTCCCAGCGACATTTTATAGTTCAAACGTCTTTGACACCGAATGCTAGAAGTGATGAACGAATCTTGCAACTCTTTCGGGTGATGAATAGAATGTTTGATAAACATGAGGAATCACGGCGTCGACATATCTGCATTCACACGCCAATTATCATTCCAGTTTGGTCACAGGTAGTAAAGCTAGTTCTAACCTATTATGTGCAATGCTATCGTTTCATCCTGTATATTTGATGAAATTTTTCTGCTATTAATTTAATTTTTCTGATTAAATAATGTCTTGTACATATCTACGTATCTAGTGCATGGTTTGTGTATGTATGCTAATATGGTTATAGAAGCTTGCTCCAAGATGATGTTTTTATACTTTTTTTTCTATTTTTGATTCTGATCGTTAAATTATTGTTTCTTTATGGGCTGCAATTTTGTATGCTAATGCTGTTTCCATAATTGATTATTGGATAAGGGGCCTCGTTTCTGTCTAGTATGTGCTGTGTGTTAACCTGTCAGGTTGCTTTCATATCTTTCTGCTAGTTACCCAGCAGACAATATAACGTCTTCTTTCCTGAACTATACAATTACACACACTAATAGCAATTAATCCATGACTTGTTTTTTATAGTCTAATATGATTACTGAAAGTCTGAATGAGTTGTTTATCCTACTTTCTGCAATCTGCAAAATGTGGCAACTAATACATTACTTCTTTATGCTGAGACACTTTTGCCTCGTTCTTGTAATTATTTCTGTAGGTCCGTATGGTTGAAGATGATCTGATGTACAGCACCTTCCTGGAGGTATACGAGAATCATTGTGCTAGAAATGATCGAGAAGCTGATTTACCTATCACTCATTTCAAAGAGCAACTGAATCAAGCTATATGTAGACAGATATCACCGGAAGAGGTGGTAAATCTTCGTCTTGAAGCGTACAATGATATTACAAAAAATATTGTGACAGACAGCATATTCTCGCAGTATATGTACAAAACTTTGTCGAGTGGAAATAATATGTGGGCCTTTAAAAAGCAGTTTGCCATCCAGTTGGCTCTTTCAAGTTTTGTGTCCTTCATGCTACAAATTGGAGGAAGGTCTCCAAACAAGATTCTTTTTGCTAAGAACACGGGGAAAATTTTCCAGACGGATTTTCATCCAGCATATGATGCAAATGGGATGATTGAGTTTAATGAACCAGTTCCTTTCCGCCTAACAAGGAATCTGCAGGCCTTTTTCTCTCATTTTGGAGTGGAAGGCCTTATTGTCACAGCCATGTGTGCAGCTGCTCAAGCTGTGGGTTCACTTAAAGTAAGTGCAATTTCCCGTACCTTCTTAAAATGTTTTCTTCCTTAGTGAGTGGATTATTATTGTTTTTGAAATACCCTGATGCAGCAAAGTCAGCATATTTGGCATCATTTGGCTATGTTTTTCCGTGATGAGTTGTTATCTTGGTCCTGGAGAAGACCTCTTGGAATGCCTCCTGCTCCTGTTGTTGGAGGGGGTAGTTTGAATTCTGCTGACCTAAAACTGAAGGTCACTACTAATATTGAGCACGTTATAGGCCGGATCAATGGAATAGCCCCATCGTACATCTCTGAAGAGGTATGTTTTCACCAGCTTATTTATGAAGTATTGTAACACTAGATATTAGATGCTTCAGCTGTTAAAGAGTTTTATTGACACATATATTTGTTTAAACTGATGCATCAATTTTTTTCTTTTTTCTGAAGATAATACCGATCTTGGACCATCATTTGAGGATCTAAGTGTTTAGGATAATTGGACCTAAGATGGAATATGCTGAATATCTTTTTAATCAAGTTTGGAATAAGGATGATAGTGAGTCACCGTGGTCAATCCTGTTTTCTGAAATAGTAATGGTAATTCTTACATTAGGACTTGAAGATGTAATGCACACGATTAGAGTAGGTTGGACAAAAAGAAGTGTTTGTTTGAATTCTGTGACGAGGAGATTCATAGAAGATGCTATGCTTGAGAGTGGGGCCAATAAATTAGAAAATGTTTGAAATTTGAATGCAGCAGAATTGAGGACATTAAGATGGATATGTATACAAGAATGTTTAATGAGAAAAGAGAATGCACGAAGTACAGTAACCACCAATTTAGAATAAATTAAAGAACCTTAAGTTCTTGGGGCATACACTCCCATAGAACTTGAGAAGCAAGTCATTCGCAAGTGGTGCAATACTGATAGAATATGTTAGAAGAGAGAGGTAGACCAAAATTAACTTGACCAGTTGTAAAATGTATTGATTTTGTTCCGACTTTTTGACTGATGCATTGTTGGATTGAGATTAGTGGGAAAAAGAAGCCACGTTGCAAAGGAGAGTTTTTTATGAGTCAACAGGATTTAATATTTAACGTTTTAGCTCTGGTATTTTTCATGAAATTTGGTGTGATTTATACCAGTTTTGTGTCACTTACGCATGCATACCTTGACTTGGTGTTTATGTGATTAAAATAGGATGAAAATAGTACGGATCCACCCCAATCTGTTCAGAGGGGTGTAACAGAGTTGGTTGAAGCTGCTCTCACTCCAAGAAACTTATGCATGATGGATCCAACATGGCACCCTTGGTTCTAATAAGCTCCAATGTAAATATTATACTTTTTTACTTCATTAAACGAGCGAGAAAAGTCATGTTATATAGCGTGAAACTTTGAGTAAATTGATTTAAATAGAGGCTTTATTTGGCTTTGCTAAAGATATATTTCTTTCTAAAAAGTTATTGAGATTTTCGCATCTGGAAAAAACACGTTTAGACACGGAATAAACAAAATTACAGTGAGAATTGATATGAACAGAAAATCTCGAGGCCTGGATGGATCGAAGTCTTGCCTGAGCAGCCACCTTGGAGTTAATCCATAATTAATATTCAAGATTTCCTTTTTTGATGTGATGGCAGTAAAACTGAAACTGATGAGTGTATACTTCAATGACATAATAGAGAGCCACCAAAGAAGGGAAAAAATAGTACTAAAATTTAAAACGAACTCAAGATTTTTAACCGTCCATGGAGAGTTTAAAAATGGACCATGCTTCTTGTACATCAAAGAGTACATAAGGGTGTACATAATGGACATCCGACATCATTTCATTGGAGGGAGTGTCAGTCCCACAGGCACTCCCTCCAATAGGAAGGTGTCGGGTGTTCATAATGGACACCCTTATGTACACTTTGATATATCTATCATTATCCTTTAAAAATACATGTTATTTTGCCCTGAAAGGTCCAGTGGGTCGCTTTTCTTGATCATTTTGGACCCCTCTGAACTGTCCTAACTTGAAATTATACGACCTGTAATGGAGTGCCAAAAATGGCTTTTACTATTTTTAATGCTTGATCAAGCAGTTTACTTCAAATGATCCTACATCAGAGTATAACCCAAATCAAAAAATGACCAAAAAATAATAAGCAGAAATAGAAAAAACGCACTAGCAATCACGTCAGAAATTGCGGTCCGGGTAAAGATACTACAAAAATTCCTCGCTATGAAGCGGGAGATTCAATTTCACCACTGCATGCTACTACTACTTCTCCTTCAAGTTCATCATCACTGCCGTACACGAATCGAGTATGTTTTCCACGGAATTTAACCATTTTCTTGCATCCATTCACATTCATTTTGATCATTCGTTCACATAGTTCATCAAGCAATCCTCGATCATAATCTTCTTCTTCATCCACAAAATTGTAGTCATAATCGCATTCTTTTTCGACCTCCTCTTCAAGGAAGTCCTCTTCTTCTTCGCAGTCGTCTCTATTACTGCTTGCGTGTACCTGAATAGACCAGATTGATGCATCATCTTCAGATGTCGATAGCTTCACTTTGCTACTTTCACTGCCTTCACCTTCACATGTCAGCACGGACGAATCAGAGCTGTCTGATTTCTCAAAAAATTCCAATAGCAGAGACCTTGTAACCACACACTTCTCAGACTCAAATGCATCTTGTTTCTCCCCATCTGAGATCTTACTTATTATCTGATTAGGAACCTGAGGGATCAAAAACTTGTCTTCAACTGGGGATGGTGTAACAGAAGGAAAGTAATTGCTACTACTATCACTGAGGTTCAAGATTTGGGGTGTATTTGCAGGAGTGGGTGCAAGAAGGCCTATTGGAGAGTTGACAAGGTTAAAAAAAGGCTTCTGTTGCAAAGTAATTTTGGAAAGCTCAGCCTCTTCTTCAACTTTCTGCAAAAGAGACTTCACTTGATCTCTCAATAAGGCTTCTCCGGAGCCCGGTGTGCCGGTGATCTTGGCTTGACAGTTGATCCTCTTCTTGGACATTGTTGATGATGGGGTTTTCAAATTCCCCTTCGCAAGCCCAACAATTGGGGAATCATTTGTTATATCCATAAAAGCTGATCGATCTTGTCCTTTTTTGTTACTCATATGCCTTGATTTTGTCACAGTCTTTTCAGATTCTTGAGAAATAACATGGGAAAAAGATTCAAAAACAGATTTATCCAAGAATTAAGAATATAATACTGCAAACCAAGAAAAAAAAAAGAAGAAAATTTTAAACTTACTTGAGACTTCCATATTGTTTTTGTTGTTAATACTGTTGTCAGCAACAGCAGCCAAGGTTTGGGATCTTGTCACTCTTCTGGTGGATAATGGGGTTTCCATTTGGATTGTGGGATTAAGAATTTACTCAAAAATCAACTGTGTTTTGTGATTTCGCTTCGCCGGAGTATTAAGCAATTCTGATGGCCGACGCTGGTGAAAAGTACAGAGGAGATAGAGAGAGAGGAATAGAATTTGTTCAACGAGGGAAGGTTTTATAGAGAATTTGGGAGAACAGAATGGGGTTGAGAGAGAGAAAAATGACCGTTAGAGCGAGTGTTTAGGCGGCGAGAGAGTCGACAACTAGCCGTTAGATTTGAATTTCTTGGCAATACAGTTAGTTTAGTTGATGGACTGCGTCTTAATCATATGTTAGATTGGGCCTAGCCCAGTCCATGAAGATGTGGGTTGGCCCAATCAATTTGTAAAGTAGAAATGTTTATGGGAAGAGTTTCAAAAGTCAGGGATTAACTATACACAATTCAAAAATCAAGTTTATAGTTTGACTAATGCAAAAATCAGGTTTT